GCGGGTGCCCCCCCCCCCCCCCCGTGCGCCACTGAATTGCGGGGCCCTAAATTAATTATAGGCCTATGGTATAATGCGGACAACAATAGAACAATCACTGAATGAAACCTAATTTAAATGAAGTAAAACGCATTCATGAAGTAACTAGGCCATGATGAACCGAAATGCACAATATAGTTAAACCGGCTTTAAAATATGCCTATCAAACAAAAACGTGCATGCCGATACTTCAATTATTCTTTCAAAAATTATTTTAGTACATCGTACTGTGGTAAAAATGGTCAATGGCCAATGGCCATATATTTATATAGCGCATACAAAGCATAAATAACTAATGGAAGAACATTGATTGTATTCAATTTTTAAAAGCCATCCTATTTGCAGTGTTTGGTGGCACGTAATAGGTAAATTGTAATGAATAATAATCTATAATTATGGCCTCTTAAACTTCATATTATTGAGGGAAAATTTAAGTAAGATTTCTTAAAGATATAAACTGACCCTAATTAGCCCGGGCCCTGAGTGCTTTGCACTGGCTGCACTGCATATATGCCACTGGAGAAGGGGATACATATTACTTAATAAATTTTCATGAATCTATTAGGTCTATGCTTTTATTTTTCGTTTATAATATTGCAGTAGGCCTCCTAAAACCTATTATTTTGAAGTAGAATGCCTTTTTTGAAGTTCACAATGATCACTTTTCAATTCCAAGCATCTGGGTTCACCTGGGGTAATTCAGGCTAATACTTTTTATCCTCCCCTTCACACTCCATCCGAAAATATTCTAAAAAACTCATCGAGAGCACATATGATATATGGATTGCCATTGAAACGAAGGTTCTTTACATGTAGGATTTATAATTGAATTATTTTTTTTCTTCCGGCAAATAACAGACATAGGCGTAATAATATGTATAAGATAATCATGAAGGATGACATTCCTTCCTAAGCATTGCAGTTTTAACTAAATATACCATAAGCCAATTTTGATACTCATTATCAATAAAATTAAATAAGATGCAAGTTAAAACACATTCTATGTCGCTTAATCGGAGTAGTCCGACCAAGACATTTTCTTTTGAAAGAACATAAGCTTTATTTCATTTCTATAAACAATCTTTAATAATGAATTTACAGTATTTAAAATATATTAAAAACAAATAACATAACCATGTAATTTATACAAATGGAAAGTGATAATTATTAAATATGCTCCTTTTGTACAATGATTACATCCGAAATAATATTACATAGGCCCTACATGTAAAATCATTATAGCACATAATATGCTGTTTTTTACAGAACCTTTTTTTTAAATTCAATTTTCTTTTAATCATTAATAAGGAAAATTGTTGATATGTAACAAAACAATTTGTATTTTCAATCCATTCCATAAGTATTATTGTTTTATTTTCAATTTTGTTTAATACCTTATTTTGTTTCTTACAGGGGAAACATGTTTCCTTCAAAGTACCTATATTTACTTCTACTAACAAACACGTTATATCAGCTTGTGGCAAGTGAAGATGTTTTTGAAGTTATCAATGAGGGCAAAATTTTAGGGAAGCGTATTAATGTTTTCAATAAATCCGTCGATGCATTTCTCGGCATACCGTACGCTGAGCCGCCGGTAAATGATGGTCGATTTAGGCCCCCAGTAGCAAGACTGCCATGGTTAAAAACATTGAATGCAACGGATTACGGGTTTGGATGTATGCAGCTTCCTGACCTGACGTACCCAGACTTCGAGGGAACCCTAATGTGGAACCCAAATGTGGAACTTGACGAAGACTGTTTAAATTTAAATGTTTGGGTTCCATATCCGAGACCAATTAATGCTGCTGTAATGGTGTGGATCTACGGCGGAAGCTTTTACAGTGGTGTTGCATCACTTGATGTTTATGATGGCAAAACGCTTGCTGCTGAAGAAAACATCATTGTTGTGTCTATGAACTATCGTTTAGGAGCACTTGGATTTTTAGCAATGGGCGATGAAGCACCAGGAAATGCGGGCTTGCTTGACCAAGCTCTTGCACTTCGGTGGGTGCAAGACAACATCGCTCGATTTGGTGGAGATCCAGATGAAGTGACGTTGTTTTCTGAGAGTGCTGGCTCTGCTAGTGTGAATTTCCACCTATTCTCACCTGTTAGTCGCAACCTATTTAAAAGAGCTATTATGCAGAGCGCATCGGCCTTGTCTCCGTGGGCATATTATACTAAAGAGGAAGGTACACGGAGGGGAAAGATGCTGGCCGATGGATTAGACTGCACTATGAGTACAAGTGGACAGCCTTTCGATGTTGATGAAATGGTGCAATGTATGCGGGCACGAGACGCAGTAGATATCCTAGATCAAATGTGGATTACTCAAGGAGAGTTCCTGAATTTTGCTTTCGTTCCCGTTATTGACGGAGAGTTTATTACCGAGGCCCCTCAGGAAACTATTAACAAAAAGTCATTTAAATCGCGTGATATAATTATTGGCAGTAACACGAATGAAGCTAATTTTTTTGTTATTTATGAAGTTCCGGGATTTAGTCTTGACACCGACAGTTTATTAGACAAGACACAGTTCCGCAAGGCCATTGAATATTGCTTTAAACCTTTCAATGAGTTTACTCATGATGCCATTCAATTTCAGTACACTGATTGGTTAGAACCTGACAACCAAGCCAAACTTCGTGATGGCATTGACCAATCAGCAGGTGACTATTGGTTTGTCTGTCCCACGTTTCAGCTAGCGAAAGCATACGCTAGTTTGGGCCAAACTGTGTACTATTATCGGTTCACACAGAGAGCATCAAATAGTCCATTTCCGGAGTGGATGGGAGTGCTACATGGTGACGAAATTGCATATTTTTTTGGAATACCACTTCACCCAGAAAATGGATTTAGTGAAGTAGACAAGAAATTAAGTAGACAGATGATGACTTATTATGCCAACTTTGCAAGAACAGGGTGAGTACAAAATGTATGCTAAAGAATAAAAAAAATATAAAAATTACCGTATATAATACAATATACACACTTTACATGTGAAAAGTATACCGGTACTAAATATAAAAATATATAAATCATGATATGATAGAGAAAACTCTAAACAGTCGTACAGTAATGCTGTAATTATATATTGTGCCAAAATTGTGGTGAATTGTCGTTCATGAGACACACTTCGCAGAAAAAAATAATAAATGTTCTGTATATACTCAAATGTTCGTTTTCGGCACCTTATGCCGAAATTTTATAAAATTCGAAAATTTTAAATTGCTATAACTTTTCATTTCTTGGTCAATTTAACAAGCTCGCGATCAAAAGAAATCAGATGTAACAGACATTGCGAAGTACCCAAAATTAATGAAATAAAAACTAACACCATAAAACGAATGGCACGGATAGACTAATAATTGACGGCTGTACTCGCAACTAGTATCGGATTGCCGATGCCACAGTAAAGATCAAAGGACTGTACGCACGCGCTATGCTCGAGAGCGGAGATGTGCGTCCTTCTGTTGAATTACCTTGAAACAAAGATACTAGAAATACAAGATAGAGTTCTCGCATTGTAAAAATGAGGCGGATGTCGTGCCCAACGTAGGCGGCGCCCTTCTTTTTAACCCATTTTAACCATGCAAGTTTCCTATACTTCGTGCCCGATGTACAGGGCGCCCTTCTGTTGCTAAGTATATCCAGACGCAAAAGGCGCCCTTCCTTTTCCACTAACGGAGGAAAACTTTTGCACTGAGAGTGTGTCCGGCCATGCGATTCTGCGCTGTATTGTTGTTTTATTCTTTACCGATTCATGATTATGCTTTAATTGTTTTGTGTATTATTTCGATAATAGCAACGATTTCTACCGCCACCAAGGAGGTTATGTATTCACCGATGTCACTGTCTGGGTGTCTATTCCAGTTTGGTATCTTTGTTGAGAATTGATAATAAAATACGCGACGACTTGGTAACGAAAGTTTGGCACAAGAATTTTAGATCGAGCTGTAGGGGGCGTCCCATTTTTCGTATTCCCACCATGCATTTCGATGGAACACGGTGGAACACTTTTTTTTGTGTGGAGAACTCTATCTTGTATTTCTAGTATCTTTGCTTGAAATGATTCACCTTAAAACTAAGTTAGTGACTCGTTTTGATGGATAAATAGGCCTATTCAGTGCAAAATAGGCTACATATCATAGACAAAGGCCAACCAGTGGCGGATCATGAAATTCGAAATAGAAGGGTGGGGAAAGAAAGAAAATTCTACACATGGATTGCCCAGACCACCTAAGCAAAACCATGTTTGGGGCCGAGGTACGAAATTGCATGTCTACGGCAATTAAAGATGACTCGGAAGTAGCATTCTCAGAATAAAAATTTGAATGTAATTTTATTTCTTCCCCATATTTTCTTATATTTTGAACACCACCCCCTCCACCACTGAATCCTTGCTTTATTATTCTTTATTCCATACACTGTAAAAACACCAATAATAGGTTGAACATAAGGTAATAATAATTTAACAAAGAATGGTAGATAATATATTTATTCTTAGCCTATGTACAGTATTAGTTAATAGAAAAGAAATTAAGGAATTTCATGAATTTTGCATTTAAATTGAGAGAAACTAGTACAATTAAATATATCTAAACAATTATTTTTCAAAAGACAAAAATTATAAGACGATACTCTACAAAATATACAATTTTTTCATTAAAATCTAACATAAAGAAGGGGTTTACTAAAAAGATTACGAACGGGGACATTAAGGTGGAACAACGAAACAATATTACAATTAAACTTAGAATTATTAAATTTATGTAAAAGTACTGATATGTTCCTGGTGATTGGGGTTACGTTTGCTTGAAACTTAACCTCTACTTTTACACGAATATCTTTGAATGTTTTTTTTTCAAAAGAAGCACACAGTGAAGAATAGGACCACGAAAAGTACCCAGTGATCGTTTTTAGCGTTATTTTATGGCCTATGTCATATTGCTCATTTTCAAATCACCTATTGCACATTACCCAGGGGTTGCATTTTTGTGTTCACTTTATTGAAAATGTGTTCGTACTTTCATTATGTTTTAAATATATTTTTTTTTCATTACTTTCCTCGCGGGCCAAATTATTAAGAACCAGGGGTCTATGACATGATAGATTATACACTGATCCAGTGTAGATTATACCCAAACTCTAAGACATCTATAGGGTCGACTTCAACTTTATTCATTTGTTATGCAAATTTGTGTTGGTTTCAATGAGGAGCCCAAAATACTTCTACACAGCATGATATTTGAAAATGCAACTATTCAGGTTTTAATTACTAAATGTGATATTTTTTATCTGCGGCTGTAATTAAAAGTTGATTACTTATCGTCTATGTGGTTCGTTTATATGCGTAATTCATATGTATTTATTTATTTATTACAAACCGAAATGTGGCAATAACCGTGCTTTCACCAATTTGGTATTCGCTGAGTTACAAGGTCACGAAGCCCGTTGGTGCCAATCAATGCCAGTCTGCGTTACAGGACGCATGTGCGCTTGTATTGGTCTTTATTTATAACCAGTCTTAGTGACGTCACACTTTGATTCTCAGCCTATAGCTGTGAATAAAGAGCTCTGTATTTTCCGTTAGTACGGTATGTCCAACGCAAGAGAGTTTTTAGTTGGACCCCATTTTGTGGACTAAGAATTATTCGCAATAAATTCAGTACCTTAAAATTTTAATTAGGTGATGAAGTAGTAGTTTGGAGTTCATTCAAGGAGGAAACAGATACCGGTAGCGTATTTGGAACTCAATATTGCAAGCGAACTCAATCCGTGCGAACCTTGTCCTCATATTTGCTGGGTCGCTAGAAATGGCGCCCATTCTTCCTGCACGTAGAACTGATCAAAACGCTTGATTAGGCGTATTAGACCTACTGGCGCAATTTATGACAAAACCATTGATATGTTAGTAAGCATGTATTCGAAACTTTATTAGGCCTACCCCGGTACGTGTTAATCTTATGCCAATAAGGCAATTCAAAATTAATGTCAGCGTCAATTTTGTTTTCTCTGTAATTTTGCAAAAACTGAAATCTACTGCAGTAAAAACGATCTGACTATTAATAAACTACCGTTATTACTCGTCCGATGATCTGGAATAAAAAAAAATCCCTGGTAGGGTTCACATGGAGAGTTAGATCCTTAAAAATGTGCTTTTAAACCACAATAAGGGATTGGCAATCAAATTAACGTTATTTTAATAGGCAAATTACTATTATTTTTTTTATCCGACAACCTAGTTGGATCTTGTGATTCTGATCTTGTGATACCAGAATTTGGTTTTACAAGTTCTGTGTGAGTGAATTGACATGCAATGCCAGTTTGTTGGCCGTTGATGGCGGTACGCCTGAGCAGATCTCTGGTGGATCTTACTCGAAATCGATCAGTACGACTCTTCGTCACGTCCCGATCTGATCGCGTCGGCTAACCACGTAGTCCGTGTCTGGCTTAATGTCTTGTGAGTGGTTTAAGTTAGGTGCTGTTGAATGATAATGAAATATAGAAATATACTTTGTCATCCTAATGAAGTTATTACCAAATACTTGATAACATTTTAAACAAAACAAATATTTTTGTCGGTAGGGGCATATTTTTCTTTAAGTTACATTGAATATTTATTCATTCGATTATTTTTTGTCGTTACATTTTTTTCTTGTTTAGAATAGTCTTTGGATATTTTATCAAATGTTTAATCATTTTGTTTGAGGACCCCTACGTAAACAACCAAGCAAACACAGAACGTTCTTATATATAACGTTCGCGAACGTTGTGGTATGGTATATCACAAATTATCGTTCACAACGTTGTAACAACGTTCAAATATTATGAGGTTGTGAAATTAGGTTAGTAGTACGTACTTCTGGTTCTACAAAATAACTTTTTAACACCAATCTGTAACGTAATTATAAAGTTTTAACTTAACGTTATATTGTTAACTGGGAAAGCTAGTGAGCTTCATGTAGGGCTATATCCTCTTTCATGTTGTGTTTTGATTGTGATTATGTTATATGTTTGAAGACAATAATTAAACAAACAAATAAAATGAACGAATACTTACATATTTTTTTATTATTATTTTCAGCTAATATAGATGAAATTGAGGTGCAGTGGAAATCAGAATTTAACGAATGGAGTACTAAGAGTATGGTGGATTGGAAAGCGGAGTTCGATGAATATGTTAACAATAAAAACAGAGTTTGTGAAGATTCCTAACTTTCCAAACGTAGCCGTCTTAATATACCACAGGCCTATAAAATATCAGGTCGAACGTGAAATAGTTTGGAAACGGATAGTACGGCTTTTGACTATTGGTGAGCTATGGTACTCCCACAGACTTAAGTAATGCAGGTGAAATAATAAAGACAGCGTAATTCGGATTATCTTCAGACAATGTCAAGAAATCTACTATTGGCGTTGATTGAGAAATTGTGAACGGCTTGACGTGTTTCGGATGGGCTTTGCCACACTATTTATCTTGAATAATAGACCTATTCGGCCTACTAAAATCCATTATAAGATCCGTGTCTTTGCCAAGCAATTTCCAGAGAATAGAAACAAATTATCTAGGCCTATTAGTCCGATATTAGTCCGATTAGGCCTATTAGTCCGATATCGAAATAGTACGGGTCATTCTTGTTCTATATTTTACTGTATCGATTACAATGGTTACAAATCAACATCCGTGTCGAAAAGTGTACCGGTGTCAGAGATTTGAGCCTTATTAAATTATCTCCTACTCTCCCCTGAATTAGCCTAATAGTGAATTCAGTCGCGGTCATAAAATTCGGCCCCGAGTCGAATTCCTAATAAAATCGTCCCCATGGTCATATTCAATATATTATTTTCTTTATTCGATTATTTATATAACGCATTTCTTTGAAGGTTATTGGGTCCACGTTCTTATAGTGTTGCTGCTGTAATCAGCGCAGGAAAAGGCAACCCAACCAGGTACCCATTTTAGTCTCTTGGGTGAAGAGAAGCCCTAATGCAGATAAAGTGTCTTGGGCAAGGACACAGGTGCAATGCACAGCTCAGAGTGTGACAGGGCGTTCCCCCGCGCTGAATTCACTATGTACAGGGGAAAGCTGACAGGGGATCTGAAATCTCAATGACACCAGCACCTATTTTTATAGCCTAAGTCTAAAAAATACGTTACCTTCATAGAGATGTTTACAAGCATTTTGTGCGTGTTAACCGAACCAGTAACATAAGCACACGGTGATGTCACATGTATATCAAATCGATATGGAGACTTAGACCTGTCCCGTATGAATAACTTGTACTTCTCATCAGACACATGTAACAAGAATAGTGTGTGCTGGAGACAAACAATAAAGAGAGGGTATTTCGGAACATCAATATAATTTATTTTACCGAATATTTCGTTCTCTATATATAATATTTAAATTAGGTTTGCTGCATATCACCGTAATTACATCGTATAAATTACCTTGTATCTGTCTCTTATACACATCTAGATGTGTATAAGAGACAGGTTATGCCCTCTGCGTGAATACGGTAACGAACCTCACTAGCAGGCTCAGAAGGTAAAACGTTTTGATATGCTATTTTTTTCAACACAGAAGGAGTGTTTAACGAATCAAAGTGTGGTTACGCCCTTTTACCCCATTAAAAAAAATCTTTTAGCCTATTAACCGTTTTTCGTCAAACAACCCTTCTGTGCCTTAAAAATATCAATTGTACAACGTACGGTATCAAATGCTTCCCCGCCCCCTTCGACTTAAGTGGAACAGAGATTAACTTGATACGCCCTTATCTAAAGCATTTAAATCACATATGTATAGGCCAATATATACTAAATGTATAATATGCAATATTATTCAGTATTGCAGCCTATATATTAGAAACACGTGCACAACGGTAAATAACCGACAAGTATATAAACCTATTTCTTTCAGACAATTACACAAATATATACTATAAACGTATTTAAACATTAATTTATTATTATTATTGTTATTATAATTATCATTACCATTATTACTGTATGATGATGATGATGATCATCATCATCATTATATTATACTGCTATTATTGTTCCGTAATAGGTAAAACAATATTTCGCTGCCCTCATACGTGACGGCTATAGAGAACCATATTTTACAGTAGTGAACCATATTGTATATTAAACTGTTGTAGACCATATAATATATTAAATTAAATTGTAGTAATAGAAGAGAATTTTGTTATCTGTCAGTTATATTAGTCAATATATTCAATGTTCGGTACATGGTGCCTCAAAGGGCATTACGCTTTTGTTAATGACGAAAAAAATGTGTAGCCGCGTTAGTCTGCTATAGAACAATACTGTATTAAAGAAATGACAGCAGCACTTTGAAGACTAACTTGTAAAATTTAATCTCTAGCTTTCGTCCACACAGTGGGCTTCATCAGGAGACTGTACAAATGGGATAGCAAACATTTATAATATTAATAGTTTTACTGTATAAGTACTGTATATGTTGTCTCATATTTCTACGTTTTAATACCGGTATAATATAAATTCAACATGCAATGGCTTGTACTCATTTTGGTTTTTGTTTGTGTCAGTCACGTCTTTAAAGCCTGGTTTACTAAAATCGCTACAGTGTCACTATGCGTTTCTTATTGCAATCGCTAACAGTGCAGTAGATCTCATAGACACAATTGTGAAGCTTCTCGAGTTTGTCCCCAACATAGCGGAAAAGTTGAAACATGAAAATCTATCACACCCCATGGTTGTACCAAGTCAACCTGCCCTTGAGCGTTTTATAAAATCACGGCAGTGATGTTATGAAAATCCGGGAAGAAGCACTCCAAGAATTGAAGATTAATCCTGGCACAATCTATCTCCGCTTTGTGTTAGCGCTTGACGACACGAAGCCGTCTGCTGATTGTCGGTGGCATTCAGAGCGGATGTTTAGTTTGTTTATTTTTTTTGTTTTTTGGAAAAGGTTTCTACCGTGCACGCCTCGTAATGCTGCTGTACTGTCTCCATGAAATCGATGGCCGACAAGTTCACCCGGACAGACACACATGATACACTCGGGGAATATAACCAGGGAACAGTGGAATTACACTGTGTAATTTCACGAATTCCAAGGAAGACCGTGCGTAGCGGAGGCGCAGTTAAAAACATACACCACCTCCCCAACCAACCCCACAACACAGCAAAAGTATAAAAATACACTCAGGCATTTAAAAATTACCTCGTATAAATTACCTTGTATAACGCAACTTTCCCAGCTACTACCTACTCCACCCAATCTGAATACTTACGTAGGCATAAAGGAATTTATAAAAATCCATAAGCGTAGGCCTGATCGGACGACAATTAAAAAACTACCAACTCTTCGTTTTATTTTTTTTTTAAGTACCCACGCCTAAAAGGCCTACTATTTTCAGATCGTCTATCCGTCTACGCATGTGCCCATGATGTTAGCTAATTTATGAAAGGACCAGGGAGTAGTCCTGGATGTACTATTAATGCAAATTAATCTCATTTTGCAATCTCGAAAACTCCCAAATGGGCCAAAACATGTTTCAAAATAATAGTAATAGGCTATTTTCTTACATAATATCAATGTTTTGACAAATTAGTATTAGTTTTCAATTAAGAATAAAAATAGAGAAAATATTTTCCATTCTAATTAACAAACCATAAATAATACCATAAATTGGATTCGATTTTACTAAACCACATTAGTAAATCCCTGAATTTCTATCCCTGAATTCCTCAATGACTTTGAAAAGATGATATTTGATTACCTTATTCATCCTTCTGAAATTGTCTTATGTGGAGATTTTAATATCCATATGGATGATGACAATGATATTGCTGCTAATAATTTTAAAGCTTTACTTACTTCGTTTGGTCTTTTACAACATATTAAAGAGCCCACAATTTGTTGTGGACATGGTCTTGACCTTATCATCCCCAGAGATGTTGAATTGCTGTCTGATGTACTTGTACATCCTGGTCTTTCTGACCATTTTTCGATAATGTGCAAACTTGACCTTAAAAAACCTGCTATGCATAAAACTTTTATTAAAAAACGAAATTTAAACATGATTAATATTGAGAATTTTAAAATGGAAGATGTCGATAAATAAATTTTCAATAAAGTAGAGAAAAATTCAATCCCTGGGTAATATGCATGGGTAGTTTGAATTTAGCAAGATGATATACAGTATTCCATATTTGGAATAAATTGCGCCAAAAAATTAATCACTGTGTACCGTACTTTTCGTGGTCCTACTCTATATCCTGTAATCAAAACTAGGCCTATTAGAAAAACTCCCGATATTGGTACATAATTTTAGCTGTGGAAGTAAAAACTTTACCATAGACATGTTAACATTTTAAGGTCCACATGCATGATTTGAGATTCCTGGTAGAAGAAGCCCATTGTTAACATAGAGGTAAACACAACTAAATTTAGGTTATTGCAACGTCTACGGTATACAATAATAATTAATATCTAAAGTGTAATGTTAATAACATCTAGGCGCTATGACGTATTATGTTTTATCGTCCATTCGTAAGCCTACTTATTTTACTTGATAATAAACAACTAGTGAACCAAAAAATAGTGCTTATAAAAATAAATTTGTCCTGCAAATAATTCAAGTCATATAGGACTCTATGAGGCCAAGTTCTGTCTCTGTTTTGTTCTGAGCATTGTGTTTCGTCAATAGCTTTTTTTTTTTCAAATACAGTATTAGCATCACCCCGACATTTGTGCCGCCAAGTTCCATCTCTTGTAAATTGTTTTTGTTCATTGAGATTCGTTAATAGCATTGTTACTTTACAGGGAATAAAAAGTTGGTGTATCAATAGACAGTGCTCATAAAATTACATTTCGCTAGTCCTTTATGCGTACTGTGAAATTGCAGAAAGCTGCTTGTATTTTGACTGACGACTGTTAAACTGATGACAGGTCCACACAGAAATTTTTCGCTACCCAATTGGGTCATGACCACTGGTGTAGGCCTAGTACAATTTAAAAGTAGGTCCCTATAATTTCAAATAGCAAATAGACCTATCTTAGCAGAAAGAGTTCACCCAGATGTAAAACGATTGCTTTCAACTCGGCTGAGATTATTTGGCCCGTCAGATCAATAATTTGGCCATTTAAACAATTAAGGACCAGGGACATACCGTATATCCGGAAACTCGTGTATATAAACATTGACATTAAAAAAAATATTGT